CAGAATGTAAAGGGTGTGGATAAGTAACAAATTTCCAACTTATAGAGATCATTATTGTAATCCCAAAATAGCAAAAAGAGTGACAGAGAAAGAGAGATAGAGTGAGTTTCGTTATTCCTAGTCCTTCTGGACGAAACTCACTCAAAAATGGAAGATTTCCTTAAATCCGATTTAAGAAAAATATTCCATTTTTTTAAAGGTACATTACACCAGGCTAAATATTATGTTAATGTATACAAATTCACAAAGTTATGAGACCACAGCTGAAGCCACAAGCCACTAATATTAAAATAAAAAAATATATGCTCATATATTTTGTTTTGATGAAAAAGTTCATTACGATCTACCTACTCGTTAACGTCTTCAATTATTGAAATCTTTTTGTTAGACATTATATATAAAGTCTTTCATATTATGTATCTGTAGACAATTGTAACAGTTGTGAAACTGGTCGATTTGGTTGTCTATGTCACTAATCAATCATTCAACATTGTGGATGACCAACGATTTGTTTGTCCTATGTAATCAGCTGCGGCCGTGGATAAAGCCCAGGTTGTTGTTTTTGTTGCTAATTGGTTTGCATATAGTTGACCGATTATATATATGGCACGTTATATATATTGTTGTTTCGTATCTATACTAATATTAGAAAGTGTGTAGTATGCAGAGAAACCCCGGCAGGAGTTTTGCAGGACAGTAATTCTAAACTTTGTAAAAATGTTTGATTGTCAGGTTTGTTACCTACACAAGACTAAACTGCTTAACAGATCTTAATGATATTGAAATGAAAATAATTGTATCACGAATACGAATATAGGCTATCTTTTATATAAAAAACACCTTTAAGGGGGTGAAATAAGAGGTGCAAGTTTGTGCAGATGAGATCTCGGGTACTTGGCAATTTAATGTGTTACTTTTAATAGTTATTATGGATTTTGTAACACAATAACTCGGACTAAAGGCTGAACAGGAAGAATGTGAATTTCAATGTCAACTTAAAGAGTCTACAACAATGCTAATCGATACTCAATCGGTCGGACCCAGATTCCAGAGGTTACCAATTCTAAATGTAAATTTGGATTTAACAGTAAACGTATCACATCATCACTAACCCAATTGAACAAACTAAACAATACCAAAACATACGTAGATGCTCTGAGACAATTAATGTCGGAATCGCTGTTTCGAATATTTTAAAGCGGTTTTTATTTCCACTAAAATTCCGTTTCCGTTTCATTGTACCGATTCGGTACAAACAAATAGCCTGTATTATTTATACAGACGTACAATAACAAAAGGAAAACTTGATAAAAAGTCTCCGGGGTCGGAAACGCTGAGATTTTAAGAGGAAATAATCGGGAGTCCCTTTCGTCAACTTGGGAACTAATTCAATAAAGCTCTGTTACCATTGCAAGTTTTCTTATTTGAGTGTATGGTTTAAGAAGAAATACCTACAAACCATTTGTTTTATCTTTATTATTTCGGTATCTATTTTACATATATTAATAATTCCATAATGTTATGATAACATAAAAGTTACAGAATATGTAATTGTTATTTAGTAAGTAAAGTTTCGTTTAGTATAAAATAATAATATGATAGTATTACATATACATCGACATGTTTTTATCACAATCTCTATTGTTCTAATCCCCTGTAATTTGACAGTTTTGGTGGTCTGGCGATACGGTACATTGCCTCACTTCTCATGGTCGTAGGTTCAATTCCTTGCACGATACGAAACATTTGTATTTATAAGTATGATTGTTTGTAATTGTCTGGGTGTTTTCTTTTTTTTCTGTGTATATTATGTATGTATGTGATTTCCAAGAAAAATGTGTTTAAGTATTTCTATCGCGTTTATATATGTTTAGGACTAAATGTCTGAAGAACTAGCGATGTGAATTTTGGTGGGTTATTATAGGATGAGTACTTTGGGAATCTCTTAAGTCCTTTAAACTTTGAGAATAAAGATAAAACGCTGGGATATAAAGAAACAAATAAATAAATTATATGTAATCATATGTAATTTCTCTAGTAAATATATCAGTCACATGTTATCTAACGTACAAAAGTTGCAGAGTATTACGTCGACACGAGTCGTGAGGCGCCGCGCCCGACGCTATCTGAAGGAAATATATTGTGAATATTATGCTGGTAGCCTACTTTCAGCTCGTTACGGCTTCATGTTGCCTGACTTATTTGAGGCTATTTGTTATATTATTAACTGTAATGAGCCTAGCGAATAATGAAAAGGAAGGCTTTGGGTTTTACGGTTTCGAGTACCGTGATTCGAATTGACGCTGAAATGCATTTGGTATTTTCATATTCAATGAGTTACGCTTTCATTTGTGACGTAATATTTTATTTCAATGAAATATTATGTACAAATATAATATTTAAATTTTATACAAAATCGCCTGAGTAAGTAGATACCTCCGTCTTCTGCCGCTGAGCAGCTTACTTTCTTTAAATAAGTAAATAACCCTGGACAATTAACACAGCGCCATCTGGTCCCACGATAAGCGGAGCTTGTGTTATGGGTATTAGACAACTGATATATATTTAATCCATACATTATATTTTTACATAGAAAACACCCAGACCGATACAAACAAGTATACTCATGGATACAAATATTTGCACCGTGCGAGGAATCAAACCCGTATATGTGACTATTTTGACATTCAATCAGATGGGCCGATAGCTATTACAGTTACATAAAATAGAACTAGTTTCGCCCGCAAATTTATTTTAATGCTAGATACCTACCTACTCCACAAACAAGGGAAAAGGGAGGGGAGTCATTTTATTTGCATACTATTTTTGACGGCGTCACATATAGCTGGCATAATATGTTTATTAATTTTATTGCCATTCACAAATTTGGAGATCTATTCTCTATACAAACGTTGTTTTGCCATATAAATTAATAACGCTATAAAAAATAGGGGTTGATGATAGAAGGGTGAAGATTTAGGATTGTATGTATTTTTGTATGTTGTATCATAAAAAAATTGAAACTAAAAATTTTGTCTAAAAAATAAAAAATAAAAATTTACGGGTGGACTACCCCTAACATTTAGGGGCATGAAAAATAGATGTTGGCCGATTCTCAGACCTACTCAATATGCTCACAAAATTTCATGAGAATCGGTCAAGCCGTTTCGGAGGAGTATGGGAACGAAAACTGTGACACGAGAATTTTATATATAAGATTCTCTATATGAATATATAAATATCTATCTATCATCTATTGTATAGTAGGCGATGTATGAGGTGTAAAATGCAATAAACAGTTAATTTACAGGTATAAACAATTTATCTATAAATTGTTTACTGTCAATGCACATAATTCTTACTGCAATATATAATATTTACAAAATAAATTAAAAAATATATATATATAAAAATAAATATATATATGACGACCTCGGTGGTCTAGCAGTCTAGCACACCGCTTTACGTCCGATGGTCGCGGGTGCGATTCCTCGCACGGCACAAACATTTGTATTCATGAGTACGATTGTTTGTATCGGTCTAGGTGTATTCTATGTATTTACAAAAAAAATCTATGTATTTGTATCAGTAATCTAGCACCCATAACACAAGCTTTAGCTAGCTTGGGTCTAGATGGCGCTGTGTGAATTGTCCTAACATTATTATTATTATATAATTAAAAATTTGAATATTTAATTAGGTAGGATCAGATTAATACAAAGATTAAGATATTATAAAGAGGAAAGATTTGACTGTCTCTAGGTATGTCATGGTAACCGAATAAATGCTCAAGTGATATTAAAATAGGCTTTCACTTAAAAAGTCCAGGACATAGACAAAACTCACAAAATTATAAGGACCCGGGTGAAGCCGGGGCAGCCACTAGATTAATGTAATTTAATGTGTAAAAGCCTGTCGTAAAAGTAATAAGTATGTTATGTTAAATTTAAGCTCAGATACACAAGATAACCTTTGGCCCGTTACTTTGAAGTGATCACTGATTAACGCGAGATCATTATGTAATTTTACCGCAGAACAGTTCGCTTCACGTTAGCAGGGTATCCTTAACCCTTGATGTGGTTTGCTCAGAAACCGATTACGAAATGATGGAAAACTACGGTCCACATCCCAGATTTATAATGTTACTAGCTGTGCCCGCGGTTTTACCTGCGTTAAATTTTAATAAAAAATATAGCCTATATGTTATTCTGATGCATATGCTATATTACTGTAAAGTTTCATCAAAATTCGTTTAGTAGTTTTTGCGCGTAAGAGTTACAAACATGTATACTCACAAACTTTCGCGTTTATAATAATATTATATATATATATATATTAAGATTAGTACTATCAAAATGTATGTATGCATTACTTTGTTTTATTATTAAACTAGTTCTAGCATATGTATATCTGTAGTCGCCATCTTTTGGCGACAATTAAATGACAAAAAGAAGTAAAGCATTAATACAATGTTATTTTTTATTTTATTATTACTATTTATTATGATTCATTATTTAACAACAGTGACAGTAGAGATAGCGTATATAAAATTAATATAATTATATAAAAATATTTTAGGAGGCATTTTTATAAGATTTCTGTAGCCTATAATAGTCTTGTAACATATTCTTTTTCTTTCTATTTCCTTTAGCTATGTCTATATTTAGTCTGAACTTTATACTTAAAGATAAAGAAAAACTAATATTGTATTAAATGGCTAATTAAAAAATAACAACATTTTTGAATGAAAGTGCAATGGGTTTGTTCACATACAAATGTATATATTTGTATGTATTGTATTGTTTCATTCTAGGCATTGGAATTTATACATATGGACAATGTTCTACAAGATTATATGAGATTGTTAGTTTTAATTCACGGAGGAAAACTGTAGTTTCTAATTCGGTTTTTGGTGGTTGTGGTAACCATAAACACTATCACCACCGCAGAAATACGTAGAATGTTGTTCATATATTGATATATCTAAGAAGTTAGCTTACCTTTGACATATAGTGAAGTTGGCTTAGCAAATTCAGTTCCTATAGCATTTTCAGCGACGCATTCATACTTGCCCTGGTCGTTTTCCTCACTCTTCACTATTTGTAATGTACCTGGAAAGAGATAAATATATTAAATTATATTATTATTAAAATAAATGCAGAAAGTTGGAGGAAAGTACAAGATCTTGAAATTCTCTTAATATTATAATACGGTGGGTGGACCATCGCAAAATGCTTTTTCTAAAGCCTACTATTAAAATTAGTTCCATTTTTACTATATATCTAATGGTTATTAAATAGCAGTTGTACTTAATAGAACTTCCTTCTATTAAAACTAGCATACATCGAACTTAAGGACACATATGTGGCGCCGAGATACTGCATCGCTATTTTATGAGTACGGATCCTCGCTATATTTATTTATTATATTGATCTACATACCTTTCTCGTTAGAACTAACGTAGCGTTATTTCCTACATAATATTCTTAGTAGCTGACAGCATACTGACACAGTACATGTATGTACTGCGGTCTAAAATTGTACTCCTAATAATTTTATTAACACTATAAATTCAAGAACGTCAGATTTAATAAGAAATTTACATAAATAACTTAATCGACAGAAACCTCGTATGTGATGTACACTGCGTAGGATTTGCCTCATGATAATTAATTATAAGTAAGTTTCTGATACGCACCACTCTCGTTCTATGTAGCTTCTACTTTCAGTCTTAATTACGAGAATTTAAATAGTAGCAACTGTTGTTCAATCTTACACTGTATGCGAATGGTAGTGGATTTTTTGCGTATTTGTAGTTATTTTTATTCTACTATAATAAGGAGCCAATGTCCTAAAAATCTATTATTGTCTACGGTTTTAAATATTTAATATGCTACAATACAAAAGATTCACCGTTAAAATAATTTAATTCGTAATGAATAAGACATCCTTCCTAACTTAGAACATTTTATTCACTGGGACTAAATATAAAAGATTTATTGTGTAATAACACAGCAAAGTGGGCACCATTAGCCAGTGCTTGCTCCACGGGTGGCTTATAGTGCTTTCATACGAGATATTAAGGTTATTAAGTCGAATTTCAATGTACAACACCTGTTTGAAGCTATTTATGTGATGAAGCGTCAATTTATTCTGCATCATTATAGGAGTTGTGAAGTTATAATGATAACATTATCTATGAGTTAATTTCGTATTAAAAGAGTTTAATGGAAATGAAATTCAGAATATATGAGCCAGTTTTTATTTATCGACAATAATATAGGTATATAACATATTTATAGATGATAATAATGTCTCGACATTTTAAGGATTTGGATGAAAGTTTGTCTTTTAATGACGTTTTTATTAACTTTTAATGGTGGTTTGAGTTTTTAAATGGTGTTGCATTGAAGTAATTCATCTGCTTCTTCCTTATCTCATTCATTTGGGGTTAACGTAATATATGTTTCTCCTCCATTCTGACTTATAGAGTCTACTAGAACTGGGCAATACCACACCTCTACAGAATACCGATGTTAAGTGTTAAGCATGTTGTGAAGGTTTGACCCACCATTTTTTTAAAAGCATTTCAGCAACATTGCCCCTGGTTATGAAAGTGCTTATAGGTGACAGTAAACACTTATTATCAGGTATACCGCAAGATTGTCTGCCACCTATATCTACTATAAAAAAAGCACAAGTTGAAAGCTAGGTAGAACACTGATGGAACCTTCTTCGCTACGTTACGAAAGTAAACAAAGATTAAACATAGTATATTTTTGTTCAGGTGATTCTATCCACTGGACAAAGTTAGCAAAAAATAAAAACGTAAATTATAACCGTGAACACGTCCGTCCCACGTTGGGCGCCAAGCCACGGTGGTCCCATGGGTCTATTCTGTAATCAAATGAAACTAGCAAATCCTACGTGGTGTGACTTGGGGGCTCCATGACAGCCGACGATAGGTCTGTACGACTCTGACGAAGGTTATATGTTGAATTTAAGAAAAATTCCTTTGTGAATGCTTTTCGTATTTTTGCTGAATATAAGGGACGGATGATACATGAATTTTAAGTATTCACCTAGTGTTATAAAATATACTGTTTTGTTAACATATATAGGTATATATATATTATATGTAGGTTCGTGTAGATTTTATAAATCTATATCTAACGCTAAGGATTTCTATCAAATTAAATAAGGATTTTTTGGTTGCCTCCTGCGACATTCTGTACATCAACCTTCTTACATCTTAATTAGATGTGGAAATTCCGTCACTATTTCTTATTAAATCAATTGTTAAAAACGACAATGATTCTAATTGAACGCTGTATTTGTTCATGATCACCATCGCAATAGTTATACATAATGTAAAAGTCTAACCTTATATAAAAACAAAATTCTTTAATACAGTACAACAGCGACAGTTTCAATCATTTTCGTAGATCGATGCTGTTTATAAGATAGAAATCAAATCCGCTAGAGTGTTGAATCAAACGCAATGAAATAAAAAAGATCGCGCGCCCGACCGTCATGATCCCTAGGCTTTCCGCTTTATACCTTTGTGTATGGTACAAGTAATATATAATGAGAAACTGTTAAACATTCAAATTAATAAATATGTGTATGAGGCAACACAAATAATAATAAAGTATGTCAAATTAAATGTTCCACTTCACGATTATATTAAATGCATACAGTGTGTTTATTTGTTTGTTACCTTCTTATGACTAAACGACTATTAATCTTAATGAAAGACGTTATTTCACGGCCTCGGTGGTCAAGCGGTTGAGCACACCGCCTCACTTCCAATGATGGCGGGTTCGATTCCTCTCTCGGCACAAATTTTTGTATTCATGAGTATGATTGTTTATATCTGTCTGGATGTATATATTTACGAAATAAATATATCTATGTATTTGTATTAGTTATGTAGTACCGATAACACAAGCCTTAGCTAGCTTAGATTGGGCCTTGATGGCGTTGAGTGAATTGTCCTGAGATTATTATTGTTATTATTAAAATAGATAGTATCACAAGAACGAACATACGAGTTCGAGTTTTTCCGAAACAACTAAAGCAATGTAAATACAAAGATTATGAAAACAAAAATATTAAATGAATTAGTATTGATTCAAAGTAATTTCACATGTCCTTTATAATATAAGAAATTAGGACTATAGTAAAGGAAAAAAACATTATTATTACTATATGGTGTTTAAGAAGCTCATCGCTTAGTCTGTAAATTACACCACTTATGGTGTTCTTTCCGAACTCAAATGAACGTCTTCTATAATCTTTCGGAATTCCGGAAGTTCTTAAACCCCCTGTTTGCCCCCGTCTTTGATATACTGGTTTTAATCTACCCAAACCAGTTTCGAGTTCTCACGTTTCAATTTTACGCATATTGGTGAATACGCTTCATACGTGAAATTAATATGTATTAGCAACACTTGTGTACAGGTGTTAATAATTTAAGGGTTCCAGTTCGATTATTTGATTCATAAATCGTGGTTTATATTGGATTCAATTTAATCCAGAATCAACTGGGCGTAATTTGTTTCAGTTTAGAAGTTATTTGTAGACCAGCTGAGCTCATGACTTTGTATTCGTGATATAATAATAATAAAAACAACACTAAATAATCTACACAGCGCCATCTACTCCCATGTCAAGTGGAGTTTGTATGGGTACTAGTACTGTTGACATAAATATATATTTTTGTAAACATATATATAATATACATAGAAAACACCCAGATCAATACAAAAGAGCATACTATAATTATATAGTACAATAATTTATTATACTTGAGCACAATCTAATTGGAGTTTAGTGTGGAGTTCGCATAACTAGCCAGTAGCTCATCTTGACAGCTTAATTTACTGTAGCGGTGACAGAAAACAGGTCTGATTAAAACCTTTTTTCTGTGAAAAGATTACAAATATTACAAAACAATTAAAATATATTTCTACCAAAGCATATACATTTTTTATTAATTATTATCATAACATAGTATAAAACAACGTCGCTGTAACTGTCTGTCCGTCCCGTCGCTTAAATCTTTAAAACTACGCAACGGATTTTAATGCAGTTTTCAGCATTAAATAGAATGTATTAAAGGGATGGTTTATTTATATAATATCTGTACATTCGTGCGAAGCCAGCTGGTGGTTCAATAAAATAAATATTTACTTAACGTCGTTTTCTTTATAGAATAATAAATAAAATAATCAACCGACTTTATGGATATCCGAATATGGTGGATGTTCAAATATATTCGACTCTATTTTTTATGTGTCCAGTTTCATACAACAATGGTTATATAAAAACTAAATTTTGTTCTAAATTAACAATAATTCTGCTCTGGGGCAAACACTAAATTAGCGAGGTACGTAATTAAAACAGGTACAAATAAATTGTCAAATATTTCACTAGGATTTAGACCACTTTAAATTCTATAGACCGAGTCGGGTTAACAGAGGCCCATTTTACCCTTCTCATAGTAGATTTGATATAGCACCCGTCTAAAAGTGCGGCCTATTTTATTGTTAGGACATGATGAAACTACATTATCTGATACTGTCTTTATCGTCTTACCAACGCTTGATGGTAATTAAAGTACTGTAAATAAAAGCTGTCATAAAGGCCAGACGCTGTATGATATACGCGAGGAAATTCTAAACAACAATACATATTATTCTAGCATATTACATTAGAAAAATCTTCAATTACGATAAAATTGTGTAGGATTAATAGAGGTGTAAACCCTAGAGATTGTAAAGGGTCGTTGTCATTTCAAATCTATTCAGTTTTGTCTGATATTTTTTTATTTATACCTATATACACAAAAAGACAATTTGTAGTAGTATACGTACGTAAAGTAAGTGTGTATTATACGTTATGCCTATCTTCAATGGGGTAAGCAGAAATAAATTGACGCCAATTGTTCTGGTCCTTTTTAACCTATACACACAGGTCGCATCAAAGTTATTTATCCAGTGTGTAGTGGTAAACATAGGAACTTCTGTACTTGTCTGCAGTACTGTCTGTACAGTCTTTATGAACAATCATTTTATAGTAATCCTAGTGACCCATTACTCGTCTTCTC